TGCAGTGAGCCAAGAGCATGCCATTGCACTCCAGCCTGGACGACACGCTGAGACTCTGTCTCCAAAATATAATAATAATACAAAGAAGGGGAAGGGGCGGAGGAGGAAGAAGAGGAGGAGGAGGAGGAGGAAGAGGAGAAGGAGGAGAAGAAGAAGAAGAAGAAAGAAGGAAGAAGAAAGAAGAAGAACAGGTTGGGCGTGGTGGCTCACGCCTGTAATCCCAGCACTTTGGGAGGCCGTGGCAGGCGGATCACCTGAGGTCAGGAGTTCAAGACCAGCCTGCCCAACATGGCGAAACCCTGTCTCTACTAAAAATACAAAAAAAGTAGCAGGGCGTGGTGTTGGCCGTCTGTAATCCCAGCTACTCAGGAGGCTGAGGCGGGAGAATCGCTTGAACCTGGGAGGCGGAGGTTGCAGTGAGCTGACATCGCACCACCGCACTCCAGCCTGGGTGACAAGAGTGAAAATCTGTCTCATAAAAAAAAAAAAAAAGAAGAACAAATTTTTACATTTAAATTGTATTCCGTGGAGATGTCAAAGGTACTGCTATGACTGGAACGAAAAAAGAGTCTGAAAGAAAGTATGTTACAAAATTCACAATGAATGGAAATTGCAATTTATTAGGGCAGAGAAAAATGAAAAGACCTTTTATCTATTGTATAAAAATTTAAGATTATAAAATACACAGTAATGGGAGACATTTTTAGCAAAATCATAATAAATATCATAAGAACTTCCCCCTCAACAGTCAAAAAGAATTGATCAAATTAATTGCCCGAATTCAGAATTAAAAGTACAATGAAAAAATTTAAATGATATTTGACAGGATCCAAGTTTGTAAATATGGCCAGTTAGAAAAGGTCTTGAATTCTTTTACACACACACACACACACCCTCTAACAATTTTTTTTTGATGGGAGAGATTGTAAAAGAAACTGTTATATCATTTATGGAAATGTTAGAAAATTATGAAGAAATGGCTAAAAACAATATTTTTAAAAAGTAACAGATTTTCAATTAAATTACCAAACAAGTGCCTGTAGAATGCAGTATCTTTTTAACAATATCAAAAATCAATTGATCCAAAATTTAAAATGTTGGAAATAATTTTCTTTAGCTATAGACAAATGAGGTAATATAAGAAATACTGCCCATATTTGGGTATGTTGTGTCTCAAAGAACTTCCAAATTTACAGAAAAATATCAATTCATGGCCTAAGAATCAAACTCATGATGTGGTTTGTTGGTTGGTTGGTTGGTTTTTGAGATGGAGTCTTACTCTGTTGCCTAAAGTGCAATGGTGGGATCTTCGCTTACTACAACCTCTGCCTCCCAGGTTCAAGCAATTCTCCCGCCTTAGCCTCCCGAGTAGCTGGGACTACAGGCACGCACCACTACGCCCAGCTAAGTTTTTTATTTTTAGTAGAGATGGGGTTTCACCGTGTTGGCCAGGCTGATCTCGAACTCCTGACCTCAAGTGATCTGCTGCCTCTGCCTCCCAAAGTGCTGGAATTACAGGCGTAAGCCACCGCACCCAGCTAATTCTTTTTTTTTTTTTTTTTTTTTTTTACAGTTGTTGGAAAATAATTTCAAGGAAAAAAAAAAGTTAGTTTATATCATCAAAGTTCTAGCTATGTTAGGTCAAAATCCAAATTTATTGGCATTTTGAAATAAGTGACTCATGATTTCTTATTGCTTCATTCCACTGTATGATAGATATTAAAAATATCTGGGCTCAATTTTCTGAAGCAAACTCTATGAAGAGGTAATGGATATAGTTATTTAAATTATTCAGTGTATCCATGCAAATTCTGTGAATCATTGCCAGTTTACAAAACAATTGAAAGAAATAGAAGAGAATGAATTTAGCTATCTTGTGTTCTTTCTCAATATTCATTAGTTGAGTTATGGAAGAGTTCTATAAACATTACAAAGTTGTACAAATATTCGATAATCAAAGAGAAAAATACAGCCGTGTGATTTATGCTTTCTTACCAATATCACAGTGCATGTGAACAAACTAAATTTGAAACTCCAAGAAAATGACAAGCTTGTGACCTATTTAGACAAGTAAAAGGATTTATATTGAAATTTAAACTTTTGATAATACAAATCAATAATAATGATTTTACACAATTTTAAAAGAGTTTACATTTTCTAACACAAATCAGTATGCAGGAGATTTTAATTAAATCAAAAGTATTATATAAATTTACAGAACTACAAGAAAAATTTGAACTCTATTGGTATTGAGAGAAATTTCAAGTTGCTTTTCAATTTATGAAATACCTTTTTTGAATTCATTGTCAATACCACTGAGTCAACATACGATTTAGTGAATGTCCTTAACTTGAAGAGAGATAGTTTTGAAATTGATACGCTTTAGCTTTCAAAGTCAAATCAATTATTTTGTAAAATATATGAGGCAGTTTTCTTTTTGTTTTTAATGTGGATGTGACTAGTAAACAAAAGTGATTTTTTTTCTGGTACTCAATTTAGGTTACTGGAAAAGTTTCAAGTATTTTTGTGTGAAGAACTGTAAGTGGTCTGAGATTGTACCCTGCTTGTAAGATAAATCAACCGTCCACAGTTTTGTAGATACTGATAAAAAAGCACAGAACCCCTAGGTTCAAGACAAAGGAGTATATTAATCATAGCAATAGCAATAGTCAGATAATCAGTATTTCTTTGAACCAATTTCTGCCTGATTCCTACAGAGCAATACGAAGAGGGCCAGATGGCATCTGTATACACAGCTGATTGTTTTATAGGTAAGGAATTCTTAGTTCGGGAAACCTAAATATTTTACAATGGTGGTAAACAATGCAAAGCAGCTTCACTGTACACTGGTTACCAACTTACCTGAGTTAAGAAATAACACACTCACATGCCATAAGTTACGTGAAATGATTTATTTATTGCAAATAGGCAGCAAGAGACAAAAGCCCAGGATCCACTGTGAGCCAGTCCCTGAAAGCTCTATTTACCTAGGGCAAATAGAGTCTCAACGATGTGTGCCCTACTTGCACCACAGCTGAGGGACCCCGAAAGGCAGCCCACCTTCGGTTATATGACTTGGTTATATGACATAACACACAAGGCTGGAGCTTTGAAGGACATGCTGTTCTGAGGGGTGGGGGAGGAGACACTATAATAGAGCCTACACAGTCCCTCCTCGTCTTAGAGTGTTATATTCCCAGTACATTCTACAGTAACTTTTTGAGGACTACAAGCCAGAAAGGAGGAGCAACGGAGTGGCATAACGCTACCTGGGGAGGTGTCCTGCAAGCACAGCTGCACATTAACTTTATAATCTGGACAATAAGCATACCTACCCCATGCTTCAGAGGGAGGCACTATGTCAATCTTCCAAGACTATTTGATATACAGATATCCTTTAAAGATAGTTCAGAACAAAGACAACCAGTGCCTCTGCTCACAAGATGTTCAGAAATATGAAAGACCCATGGAGATTTGTTTCCCAGTATTTTGGAACAACTTGGGAATGTGAATCTTTTTTATTGTAAAATTTATGAAATCTAATATAAATCAAGTATTTCCAATGAAAAGTTAACATTCAAATTGAGACATGCTGTAAGTATAAAATTCACAACAGAGTTTGAAACCTTAACATAAAAAAGCATATAAACTATTTCATCATTAGTTATATTAAATACATGTTGAAATGACAACATATTAGGTATATTGATTTAAGTAAAAATAATTTCACCTGTTTACTTTTTAAAATGTGACTACTAGAAATTTTAACATTTTATATGACACTCATATTGTTTCTATTGAACAGCTCAGGCTCAGGCTGTCTAATTTTTACTGGACAGTCATAGAATGGTTGAATGACCAAAGATTAGAAGTTGGAAGAGGCCTTTGCCTGAGTCCCCTAGAAAATACTCAAACAAAGCTTAATTGTTAACATTTTGGGGGGTGAGGTTTCATCCCAGAATAATAAGAGTGTAAGAAAAGGAAAGTGAGGCTGAGAAAGAGGGGAAGAACATTTGGGCAGTTACTGGAAAAGCCCGATCCCATTTACTGTGGCATGGAACTTCATCTGAGATTAGAAGTGATGATAGGAGCCCAAATCACAATGGGACTGATTGAGTTAGGCCTACGTTCTAGAGGGACTGAGGCTGTTGTCATGGTGGATTGTCTTGGATTGTGGTTACTGTAATTTCCCGATGACAGTTAACACTGGGCATGGAAATGGTAAGAGATGCTCCACTGACTCCCTTGGGTTCCATACATACCCTCCTGGCCTTCATTAGGTAGTAGCAACTCTAGCTTCACTTGGTAATCAGAGTTCATTACCCTAGGCAGTGCATTAACTCCATTTTTCACCTGCTTGCTCAATAGAGTCAGTAACCCAAAGTGACTCCACTTATTACACTGATTAGTCATAACTTCTAGTTGGGTGGAACTCTGTACCCATAACCTAGCATAGTCAGCAGTTTCAGGGTCAGGATTATCTCCAGCAGTATCAGATTTGCTTGATGTCATGACACAAGTGTTTGAACAGCTTGCATGATTGTCACGACCTGCTTGTAGTTCTGGTCCCCACTCAAAGCTGGCAGCCTTTCGGGTACCCAATGGCTAAGAGTAGTATTTCCAAATATAGTATATACTTTCTCCAAAATCCAAAGAAACCCAGAAACCATTATGCATCTTTCTTTTTCTTTCTTTCCCTCCCCTCCTCCCTCTCCTCCTCCTCTCCCCCTCCCCTCCTCTTCTTCCCTTTCCTTCTTTCTTTTTTTTGAGACAAGGTCTTTCTTTGTCACCCAGGCTGGAGTGCAAGTACAATCACATCTCACTGCTCACTGCAGCCTACACTTCCCAGGCTCAAGCAATCCTCCCACCTCAACCTCCCAAGTACCTGGGACTACAGGTGCACACCACCATGCCTGGCAAATTTTTGTATTTTTTGTGGAGGCAGAGTTTTGCCATGTTGTCCAGGCTAGTCTCGAACTCCTAGGCTCAAGTGATCCTCCAGCCTTGGCCTCCCAAAGTGCTGGGATTACAGGTGTGAGCCACCATGCTTGGCCTATGCTTTTTTATTTATCATAGATGGCGCAATATTCTACCACCTGTCTTTACCTTATAACACATGTATTGGATTGCTGGATTCTTCAAAATTTCAACAATATGGTAGGCCTCTGAATCTCTATGGAATTATTTCTCACTATGTACTTACTTGGGCATGTAGGGTATTTGCCACTTCTTGCTCATAAGTCACATTAGCATCATGCCACTCATGTAGTCGACCAGAATTATGTTTTGCAGAATATGAAAATGAAGTTACCTGCAAATGATGACAGAACAAGAGAAGGAGAAAGCAGCCGGGATCACATATCAGCTTTGGCTTGCCTCTTTCCTGTTCTATGGCTGTGGCCTGTACCCTTCCTGAACCCTCCTTGGAAGGAACAACTTGGCTAACCTAATTAATGCTTAGCTGCCAAAAGATTGAGTTCTCAATGAAAATCATATGATAATTTTAGTAATACCTTTGTGTATGACCTTGAAAAATACAGACACAGATTTCTAATGCATCCGAGGTAGTAATAAAGTTCAAAAGGGGTGGAGGGTGCGGGAAGGAAGCAGCTTTTCTTATCTGAAACTTGGCTGTCAATGATACAGAAGGGCTGGGCTCCCAGCTAAACCCCAACCGTATGCCTGAAAACGCGGCCCCAAGTGAAAACAGCTGACCCCGTTTTTCTGCCCAAATGTTATCTTTCTGGCCTGCCGTGCTCCTATCCTGTGCCCATAGAAGACTTCAGCTGGCAGAGCAACACAAGCGACTAAGCAGCAAGCAGAGAAGCAACTGAGCGTTAGAGACTATGGATAGACGTGACTTACTTCAGACAGTGTGGCATCAGAGAGGGGCAACTGGGCCTCAGGAAGAGAGAGATCACTTTCCCAACCCCTTTCCAGTCTCCCTTTCCACTGAGAGCCACCCACTGCTCAATAAAGTGTTCTGCATTCATCACCTCTCAAACAATTCGTGTGACTTGATTCTTCCTGGATGCCGGACAAGAACCTGGGTGCCGAGAGGTCAGAGGCTGCCACCCTGACCCTCCGGTGAGCTGGTTGGCACTTGCCTGTCCCTGGACAGCTCAGCTGACAGAGCATTGGTCATAATAAGCTTGGACTCTGGCCGGTTCCAGTGTTTGTTCGCTTCAGTTCCTGCACTTGCTTGCTCACACCCTCCCTCCTGTGAGGAGGAGTGGCCAGCGGTGGACTGAGTGAAACAAGCCATTCCAGTTCCTGCCTGCGAAGGGGGTCAACAAAGTATCCCATTGCATCAAGATACCTCTGAATATGAACAGCTAGGAATCTGACGGCTGCAAAGATGACTATTACCCAAATTGTGAAGAAGAGAAAGAGAAGGAGAACCAGAACCTTGACGATATAGAAAATTATTATGTGCAAGTAGCAATGACATGGGGCAGCAGGGGTTTGATACTTTTGATACTGAGGCATACCAGTGATCATCATCCCAGCCTAACAGGAGTTCAAGGGCATCCTAAACAAGTACATAGCCATATTAGTCTTAATGCTACTATAGGAAATTATATAGGAAAGAAAAATATTTTCAATAAATGGTGCTGGAAAAACTAGATGGACATATGGAAAAAGACTAGTCTCAATCCTTACCTCATGCTACACAAAAATTAATTTTGAGATGCATCATGGACTTAAACTCAAAAGCTAAAACTAAAAGGCTTCTAGAGAAAAACAGATGAATATCTTCAGGACTGTGGGGTTAGCAAAGATTATTTCCATGGGACCAAAAAGTACCAACCTTAAAAAAACTAACACATTGGATTTAATAAAAATGTAAAACCATAAGAGACACCATTAAGCAAATGAATAAACAAGCCAGGAGCAAAAGAAAATATTTGTAATACATACATCTGACAAAGGATGTGTATCTAGGGGATGTAAAGAATTCTTACAACTCAGTAATCAACTCAGTTTTAAAATTTGCCAAGAGACATTTATAAGCAAAAAAAGAAGCTCAACTTAAAACTCATACTTTATACAAAAATTAACTCAAATGATATTATGAACTTACATGTAAAATATAAAACCATAAAAAGTTTAGGAAGAAAAAGGAGAAATTTCAGGACTTAGGACTAGCAAAGAATTCTTTGATGTGACATACATCTTCCTCTTACGCAATCTGTAAAAGAAAAAATTGACAAATTGAATCTCACTGTAAATGAGAAAGAGACTTAGGCAAACATTTTAGAAAAGAAAAAAATACAAATGACCAAAAAGCACATGAAATGGTAGTTACACAAGTACGTACATTTGCTAAAACTCATCAAACTGTACACTTAAGATGTGTGAATTTCAATGTATGTAAACTATTCTTCAATAAAAATAAAATTTTATAAAGCATATTTTTAGAAGTTGAACAGAGAAGCAATATTCATGTTGATAAAGAGCAATTATTTCCCTTCCTACCTTACACTCACTTAAAAAAAAAAGAAAATATGAAGGAAGGAAGGAAGGAAGGAAAGAAGGAAGGAAGGAAAGGAAGGAAGGAAGGAAAGAAAAGTAAACAAATAAAGAAAGGGGAAAAAAATCAGACATCTCATCAGCCATAATGAAAGCTAGAATATAGTAGGGTAAAGGTCTTGGATTAAAAAAAAAAAAATTCCTCTTGAGCTTAGAATTATTTACTCAAACTATCAACAAAGTGTAGTGTCAAAATCAATTCATTTTAAGACATAAAGGGATCCCTGAAATATACCTTACTTGTACTTTAAAATAATTTTTTTCAAATTAAGATATAATTCACATACCATGAAGTCTACCATTTTAAAGGTACAATTCAATCGATGTTAATATATTCACGAGGTTGAGCAATCATCTCCAATATCTCTTTCCAAAACATTTCGTCGCATTATAAACACCATACCAATTAGCAGCCACTCCCATTCCTCCAATACCCAACCACTGGCAAGCACTTATTTCTTTTCTGTTTCTATGGATTTGCTTATTCTGTACATTTTCTATAAATGGAATCACACAATATGATGTCATTATCAGCATTCTATTTCTTTTTATGGCTGAATAATATTCCATTGCATACATATATCACATTTTGTTTATACATTAATCAATTAATAGACATTTGGGCTGTTTCTACTTTTTGGCTATTATAAATGATACTGCTATGAAGATCTGTATACAACTTGTCATGTGAACCTGTATGTTTAATTCTTTTGGGCATATATGTAGGATTGAAAGTTCTGAGTCATATAGTAACTCCACATTTAATTTTTTGAGGAACCACTGACCTCTTTTGCACAGAAGGCATACCATTTTACATTTCCACCAGTGATGTACAAGAATTCCAGTTTTTCTACATCCTCGCAAACACCTGTAATTGTCCGTATTTTTTGTTATAGCCATCCTAGTGGATGTGAAATGGTATGTCGTTTTGGTTTTGATTTGCATTTCCCTAATGTTATGGTCTGCTCCCACTCCCTGACCCCAATATTAATATGTTAAGATTCTAACACCCAAGGTGATATTATTAGGGGTTGGAGCCTTTGAGATATGATTAGGTTATGAGGGCTCTGCCCTCACCAATGGTAATAGCGCCCTTGTAAAGGAAGCCTGAGAAGTGCTCCTTTGTCACCTCCATCATGTGAGGAAACCATAAGAAGGTGCCATCGATGAAGCAGAAAGTGGGCTTTCACCACCCACTGAATCTGCTGGTGCCTTGATCTTAGACTTCCCACACTCCAGAACTGTGAAAAATAAATTTCTTTTGTTTATAAGCTATCCAGTTTATGGTATTTTGTTATAGCAGCCTGAATGGATCAAGGAACCTAGTAACTAATAATGTTGAGCATCTTTTTATGTGCTTAGTAGCCATGTAAATGTTTTCTTTGATAAATGTTTATCCAAATCGTTTGCTCATTAAAAAAAATAGACTTTATTTTCTAGATCAATCTTAGATTCCCAGCAAAACTGAGTGGAAAGTACATAGTTCCAGTACACACCCTTCTCAGCACATGCAGACTCTGCCCCCCCGCCCCCTGCTTCTTAATTGACATCCTTACCAGAGTGGCTTTTGTTACAATTTATGAACCTGCATTGACATATCATTATCACCCAAAGTCCATAGTTTATGTTAGGTTTCTCTCTTGGTGTTTTACATTCTATGGATTTTGACAAATTATAATGACATATATCCACCATTCTAGTATCACAGAGTATTTTCACTTCCCTAAAAATCCTCTGTGGTCAGCCTGTTCATCCCTTCCTGCCTGCAATTTTTGTTAACCACTGATGTTTTCACTGTCTCCCATAGTTTTTCCTTTCTCAGATTGTCATATAGTTGGAATCATACAGTATGGAGACTTTCAGATAGGCTGCTTTCACCTAGTAATATGCACTTAAAGCTGGAGTGTAGTGGTGCCATCTTGGCTCACTGCAACCTCTCCCTCCCAGGTTCAAGCAGTTCTCCCACCTCAGCTTCCCAAGTAGCTGCAACTACAGGCATGGACCACCACGCCCAGATAGTCCCTTTCTTTTGTTTTCCTTTTATTTTCTTTTCTTTTTCTATTTTTTTTGAGATGGAGTCTTGCTCTGTTGCCCAGGCTGGAGTACAGTGGCACAATCTCGGCTTACTGCAAACTTCGTCTCACGGGTTCAAGCAATTCTTCTGTCTTAGCCTTCCAAGTAACTGGGATTACAGGATTCATCACCACACCCGGCTAATTTTTGTATTTTTAGTAGGATGAGGTTTCACCGTGTTGGTCAGATTGGTCTCGAACTCCTGACCTCAGGTGATCTGCCTGTCTTGGCCTCCCAAAGTGCTGGGATTACAGGTGTGAGCCGCTGCGCCCAGGCAGGATAGCCCATTTTTAAAGTGATGAATAATATTCCATTGTCTGGATGTACTGCAGTTTATCCATTCACCTACTGAAGGAAATCTTGGTTGCTTCCGGGTTTTGGCAATTATGGCTAAAGCTCTTATAAACATCCATGTGCAGGTTTTTGGATGGATATATGTTTTCAGCTCCTTTGTGTAAATACCAAGGAATGCAAATGCTGGATCATATGGTATATTAGTCAAGATTCTCCAGAGAAACAGAACCAATAGGATGTATATACATTATAAAGAGATTTATTATAAGAAATTAGCTCACACAATTACAGAGGTGGTAAGCCCAAAATCTGTAGAGCTAATGTTCCAGTTTGAGTCCAAAGGCTGCCAGGCTGCTGTAGAACCAGGAAGAGACAGTATTCCAGTCTGAAGCCTGACAGGCAGAAAAGTTGTCTTTTCCTTCAGGGAGAGTCAATCTTTTGCTCTATTCAGGTCTTCAACCGATTGAAGACCTGTCCACATTATGGAGGGCAATCTGCTTTACTTGTTCTACCAATTTAAATAGTACCCTCATCCAAAAACACCTTCACAGAAACACCCAGAATAATGTTTGACTAAGTATCTGGTCAACCCATGACCAAGTCAAGTTGATACATAAAACTAATGATCACACGTGCTAAGAGTATGCTTAGGTTTTGTAAAGAAGTGCCAAACTGTCTTCCGAAGTGGCTGTATCATTTGGCATTCCCACCAGCAATGAATGAGAGTTTCTGTTCCTCCACAACCTCACCAGCATTTGGTGTTGACAGCCTTTGGGATAATGGCCTTTCTAATAGGTATGTAGTGGTATCTTATTTTATTTTAATTTGCAGTTTCTCTTACGGTGTATGCTTGTTTTTATGTAATTATTTGCCACCTGTATATCTTCTTTAGTGAGGTGTCTATTGAGTTTTTTTGTCCATTTTTAAATCGGGTTGTTCATTTTCTTATGGCTTAGTTTTAAGGGTTCTTTGTGTATTTTGTAGACTAGTGGCTCATAAACACTGTAGACTCAGGATATATTAAATTTATAAAAAATATTTTTGTTTCTTCAATAATAAATTAACCTTGGTTTACTGTAACATTTTAACTTTATAAATATTTTAATTTTTCAACTTGTTGACTCTCTTGTAAATAACCATTAGCTTAAAACACACATTGTATAGCTATACAAAAATATTTTCTTTAAATTCTTATTCTATACACTATTTTCTGTTTTTAAAATTTTTGTTTTATTTTTTCTTTTTAAACATTTTATTTAAAACTAAGACACAAACACAAGCATTAACCTACCAAGTTAGTTCTACATAGTTCTAGTTCTACATAGGGCTAGTATCATTGATATCACTGTCTACCACCTCCACATCTTGTTCCACTGTAAGGTCTTCAAGGACAATAACACACATGGAGCTGACATCTCCTGTAATAACAATGCCTTCTTTTGGAATACCTCCTGAAGGACCTGCCTGGGACTGTTTTATAGTTAACTTTCTTTAAAAACGTAAGTAGAAGTAGTATACTGTAAAATAATTATAAAAAGTATAGTATAGCAAATACATAAACCAATAGCATAGTCACTTATTATTAAGTATTATGCACTGTATATAACTGTGTGCTATACTTTTATATGCATGGCAGCACAGTAGGTCTGTTTACACCGGCATCACCATAAACATGAGTAATGTGTTGCACTATGACATTACAATGGCTACAACCTCACTAGGCAATAGGAGTTTTTCTTCCCCATTGTAATTTTATAGAACCACCATTGTATATGTGATCTGTCATTGACCAAAATGCTGTCATGTGGCATATGACTGTATTTCCTTTCCTAGTCTTTGTGCATTAGCTAGGGTTTCCAGTACAATGGTGAAAAGGAGTTGTGATAGGACACATTCTTGCCTTGTTTGTGATCTTAGCAATAAAGTTTTCTAGCTTCTCATCATTAATTAATATGTTAGTTGTAGTTTTTTTATTTTACATTTTTATAATGAAGTTGAGGGGGTTCACTTCCATTTCTAGTTTGCTGAGAGTTTTATTTTTTTTTTTATCATGAATGGCTGTTGGATTTTGTCAAATGCTTTTTCTTCATTTTCTTCATCTATTGATATGATCGTGTGTTTTTTTTTCTTCTTTAGTCTGTTGGTGTGATGCTTACATGAGTTGATTTTCAGATGTTGAACTAGCCTTGTATACCCAGAATGAATCCCACCTGGTCATAGTGTATAATTCTTTTTATATATTGTTGGATTCAATTTGCTAATTTTTTTGTTGAGAAATTTTTCATGTATGTTCCTGAGAGATATTGCTCAGGGTGAGTTTATAGTTTTATTTTCTTGTAATGTCTTTGTTTTATAATATGAGGGTAATATTGGCCCCATAGAATGAGTTAGCAAGTATTGCCACTGCTTCTATCTTCTGGAAGAAATTGTAGAGAATTGGTATAATTTCTTCCTTAAATGTTTGGTAGAATTGTCTAGCAAAACCATCTGGCCTGGTGCTTTCTGTTTTGCAAGATTACTGATTACTGGCTCAATTTCTTTAATAGATCTAGGCCTACTAAGATTGTCTATTTCTTCTTTTGTAAATTTTCAGTAGCCTGTATCTTTCAAGGAATTGGCCATTTCATCTATGCTATCAAATTTGTGAACATAAATTTGCTCATAGTATTTCTTTTTTATCCTTTTAATGTCTGATTGGGATCTGTAGTGATGTTCCCTCTTTCATTTGTTATATAAATAATTTGTGTCTTCTCTCTTATTTTCTTAGCCTGGCTAGAGGCTTATCAATTTTACTGATCTTTTAAAAAAAGGCAGCATTTGGTTTTGTTGATTTTCTCTACTGATTTCCTGTTTTCTTATAAAATTTTTTATTGAGGTAAAATATACATATGTAATTTACCATCTTTACCATTTTTAAGTGCAAAAGTCAGTAGCAATAAATGCATTCATATTTTTTTCTAACCCCCTCCTTCCTGACACCTCTTTTCAATTTCATTGTTTCTGTTTTAATTTTTATTATTCCTTTCCTTCTGCTTACTTTGGATTTAATTGGTCTTCTTTTCTAGCTTCCTAAGATGAAAGTTTTGACTACTGATTTTAGATCTTTCTTTTTTCTTAATACAAGACTTGAA